TGAAGAATTAAAGGATTACGTGGAAAATGCTAGCAGGTCGTCTAATGAGAATTATTTATTTTTTGATAGGGAAAGAAAGACGAAGGAAGTGAGGAACGAAACAGCTCACTTTCTTCATTTATCGCGTCAAAAACAATCTCTTCTACAAGCGCTTGCAACATTCCTTGTAGCCTGAAATGACAAAATTTATAAGATGACATTGTTGCTGCTGCTGATTTGTTAAAACGATTTCTCTTAGGTGTTGGTCAATTCAACACCCAACAAAATGGCTGGTCTTCCTGAACGTGCATGCGTACCAAAAGGGATGATCAAAAAAGTAATGTAAGCTTAGTACTATGGACAATTGAGTCCACTACAGTTCTGCATATCCTCTGTGAGCAATGAGTTCTAATCTAGAGTACGTTCAAAACGGCTAAAATGGTGTATCCCTAAAGTTAGCCACCCCGATTCGCAGTCAATGAGCTCCCAAGCCTAGTCGTGTCACTATGAATACGTGCGCATTGTAAGTTCTCCCCTTCTCCCTTTGCCTGCCGTTCACAACAGACGATCTCTGCAGTATCAAATCGTGGGTCTACAGAATGCTGTAAGGGTCAAAAACGTCCCACTTCTTAACCTAAAGAGGCAATTCATGCTCATTACTTATAATAAAGCGCGTAGTTTGTCTTTATGTGTATGTGTTCTCTGTCTGTCACGAAATTAGTTCATTTGTCCTGAGAAAGTCGAAAAGCAGCATCAAGCGTAGAAATGTAAACAAGCAAGCAAAAATGAGCATTTTGTTGTAAAAACGTGGTAAGTTGGTTGTTCATTTCGTGTTGCTACGGACGCGCTCGATAAAAATCATCTGCATCTTTCTCCTTCAAGAGGACGTTGAGAGGTAAGGTTAAAACTTCAATACTTTTACTAGAGATGCGCGTACGATGGCTATAAGGTAAAACTACTTTGTCAAAGTGTTGAACCTAGCTCTTCAAGAAAGTGCACAGCATTTGCCCAACACCTAGTTGCTGTCCGTATGGAAGCTGGGTGATTGCATAGGTTCGGGATAGTCAAGGTGCATTGAATGGATTGGCAAACTTCAAACATCTACTCGCACTATAGGCAAGTTCATGATGTGACTTTTAAAGTGGCCGTGACGATTTTGTCGAAGCTAACACAATCGCTCGCAAGACTTTCGATGCATTCTAGATTGCACGGAAATCTAAATAGGAACAGGTAGGAAGAATGCATCACTGTGATCAACGAGCTAGTGCCTATCAATCCATCCGCTGGTTTTGACGAGGTCGGATCAGCTCGGGAAGAAATATACATATCATAACGAGTTATTACGC